TTGTTTTTATTTATTTTATTTATTTTTATATTTCTTCTTTTCTTTTATTTTATTTTTCTTTAAATAAAAAGATCTTCCACTTGACTCTCATCACTTTAAAATTTACTACAGCTTGATAGTTTTTAGTAAATTTTATTACAGTGCTTTTAATACTTTTTTAGTAATACTATTAAGTTTATATAGTTAATATAGAATTATAATTTGTTATTTTTTTTAAATTAATACAACTAGTAAAGTTTAAAAACTAGAAAAAGATTGTATAAGTCCACTATCAAGCATTCTTTGAATTTCTTTTTTAATAAATATCTGTTTTGTTAGTAAAGAAGAATAAGATTGAAATTGAATAAGAGGTTTTTTTTTTAGTATAAATTTAATAAATTACAAGATTAGTTTATTCTAATTCTGTTGTATTTTGTGCAAAAAGATCTGAGAACTTCATTAATAGCTAGCTAAATTGTTTGTTTTGTTCAGTATTTAAAGATTCAATATTCAATTTAAATAGTTTAGAACTAGTATTATATTCTTTATAAGAAATCTTAGTGTCTATTATAAAAACTTGATATATATTATTTAGTTTAACAGATAATTTTTTATCTTGTTTAGAATAATCTAAAAGTTTAATTTTTTCTATTTTTAAGCAAAAGAAGTATAGCATTGTTAATTGGTCTAAGTATCTTATTAAAATACTTGTAAAAGAATTTGAGTGAATCTTTCTAACTTTTTTGTTTTCTGTTAAAGCTATATAATAAGTTAGTTCTAAGTTATAATTTATTGTTATAGTTGTGCAACTTGTAATTGCAAAGAGTCTAGTTCTGGTAAAGTTGTATTTAAAGAGTTTAATAGAAGGTTTACTAGTTTTGATATAGAAGGTTTATAGATAAAAACTGATAAAGAAACATATTCTTAATAATATTTTTAATAAATATCTAATTTATCTTAATGTTTAACATGCAAATATTCTTTATAAAAATTAACAAAAATACTAAACTGTTGACAAAGATTAGTAATACCAAGTTAGTAATCAAATTCTGAATAGCTAATATCAAAAGACTAGCTAAAATTTATTAAAAAAGCTACTCTTTTTTATTATTAAAAACAGCTTATTCAGCTTATAAGATAAGATTTATTTCTTTATATATTTAAGATTGATTAATCTAGTTATTTATTAAAGTTTTAAAACTTTAGTAATAGTAAGGTCTGTTTTTTACAAATAAGATAAAAAATATAAGTTTGATTTATTTTATACTAAGTCTAGCACTTTTGATTGATTTAGTATAGTTGTTTAATTTAGATCCATAGATTATAGTTAGAGTTATAAAGAATATCTATACTAACTTTGTAAACATATAAATGCTTAAGTTTACAAAATCATAGTATTTCTGTAATACTTTCTAAATTATGCATTCTGTTTCTGAATTTAATATGTTTACATAATTTATATTATACTAAGGTTCTATATTCATCATTTTAGATATAATAGTACTAGTTTCTAAAATCATTACAATTAAAACTTTAATAAAAGTTAATATAGTAACCTTTATAAACAAAAACTTTATTTAATTCTTGTAAATTTTTTAGTTTTTAAGAATTCTTAAAATAGTAGCAATAATGAAAATAATAATTACTATAAAAGTATTATTATTGAATATAAACTTTATTAAAGTTGTATTTATATTAATAGGTTTAATTTTGGTAATTAAAAAAAGCTAAAAACTAGTTAACAACAATATGTTTTATAGAATTACATTTATAACAAATATTTTTAAAGCATTATTGATAAAGATGTTCAAAGCTCTAATAGTTCTTATAAGTTTCTCTTCAAGAGACTTATAGTTAGCAGTAAACAGCAATATGACCTTTGTAATAATATTAATTTTAAGTATTTTGAGGACAGTTAACAAATAGTTAGAAGATTTACAATTCTACAAATATGAGATGAGATAGTTTAAATACATTATTAAAATTGATAGATAATTTATTTTTTATTGTCTGTTTTTGAGTTAAGCTAAGCAGTATATGCTTTATGCAGAGTAAAAAATCTTTGTTCATAAAAATCAAACTCTTTTGAGTCTGTTACAGTTGATTAAGCAAATAAGACATAATCACTTTTATAGATTATTAGTACTGAAATTTTCTTATTAATTTACTTAAATGAATAACAATTATTTTTTTAGTTATAACTAACACTAACTTTTTTGAACTAATTATTTTTAAAAAAAAGAAAATAAGAAATAGCAAGAATAATTTTAACAGTAATTAAAATAGTTATTTTTTAATTTTTACTAAAAGGTTTTTAATAATTTCAAGAAAACATATAAAAATACTAGTAGCTATAATAATTAGATTAATAAAGACTTATTTAATCTTAAGTCCTAGTTCTTTAACAGTCTAATAAGCAATCATACTAATAACAATACCACTATTAATAATAGCTTGTTTCTAAGTTAAATGTTACATTTTACAAAAATAGTATAGATAAGTGATTGCACTAAATTAGCATTTTTTTAGTTTATTTATACTGATATATAAACAAAACTGTATAAATAGAAGGATTATTAAGAAATTGCTTCTATTTTTTTGATGTTATAACAAATAAAATAAAAGAATCTTTATAACCAAAGTAGTTAATATCTCTATAATAGAATAAAGGTAAATAAAAACTAGTTCTTTTTTCTCTAGAGTTTTCTTTTTTCTTAGAAAGGTTTTTGTAATAAGATCTATCACAACTTTAAGAATAAGATCTTTGGTTATGTTTGTTATTTCATCTATAATTATTTTTTTAGTAGATTGTTGTTTAGCTCATCTGGTTTTGTATTTAGCAATAAAGTGTCCAGTTTGTCCACTATAATATTAGCAGCAAGAATCTTTGGCTTGAGATCTGTTAATGTTAAACATAAAGGATAATTCACTTATTTTTTTGAATCCTTTTTCTTTGAATTACTTTTTTTTCTTTTTTTATTCAGAGTGTTTTCACAATCAGCAAAAAAATGAATTGGCGCAGGTGGTAGAATAGAGCATTGTTCATTGTTATCTTTAAGCAATTCTCCCAACAGGTCACCAGATTCAATGTCAGTATCATTATTTAGAATATCCAAAATTTGTAGATTGTTCTTAATAATAATCTGTGAAAATAATTAGAACACAGAAGAAAAATAAACGACAACTACAGTATAAAATTTTTATACCTTGTACTGGCATATCTTTTTTAGAAAGTTAATAAAGAAACTTAATCCATTTTTCGAAAATTTGCTATCTACATAAAAAGATTGAGAATCTTTACGAAAAAGCAAATCGATCCACCAGCACGCCATAATCTTGTGAACTGAATATATAACCCAAGGTGTAAGATGCCAAATACTTGAAGTTCATCTGCTTTTTGATCATCGTAATTCACAGCCTTGATCAAACAGCATACATATCCCGAAGTGTTTTGGGCATCTTGAATGATTCGAGGAGATATTTATTATCTGAAACTCCCAAAAAACTTCTTGCGCCTTCAATGGCACCGATTTCAACAAGTCTATTAGTTATATATATTATCCCATCGATTTTACGACCAATGAGCTTTCTTGCGTTTGCTTTCCGACGCCGATTCTTTCTGTTGGCACTACTCAATGATGGTGCATCAGTCCTATAGAAATGATAAATAAGTGAAATGATGGTAATTAATTGTTTAAATCAGTGGAAATGGATAAAACCTCTTAACGTCGGTTCCCAATCGCGCGTCCCTGATGCAGAAATCGATACATGTTTCAAAAAGTGCGACCGTGAACCAATCTTCATATTGAGTTCTTACTAAGGGGGTATCTATATTTTCGAATAGATTACAAAGTGTTCGCATGGTCATTTGAATCCATTCTTGATCATAATGCTTTTGAACATCATATTCTTCGTCATCCTTAAGATATGATTTCATCACTTTGGTACGTAGCTCTTTTAATGTTTTACTTCCATACTTCGCTAACTCCTCTGCAATATCACGCGAAACAGAAGGAACCCCAATTCGATCTTTAGTTAGTTCGTTCCACTCCGTGTCGGTGAATAGCACTCTGACATCCTTGTCATCAAAGTCCACAATATAGGAATGGGCATTGCTGATCATTGTCAGTGTGAATGGTAATAAAACAAGGTATAAAGTATTTAAACTTCGAGAAACTTACTGTTCGTAGTCCATGTCTTTAGCAAATTCAAAAAGAATGTCTTCCACTATTCTGCCTGTGCTCAACTGCAACTTTGAAGAGTTTGGGATAGCATAATGGGCCTTACAAAAAGCCGTCTTGTCAATTTTTGGGGAATCCTTCTCATTTATATTGTCCTCAGATGCATCGGTATCAGAAGCCGATTCTTCAGAAGTTGATTCGTCAGTGTCGCTTTTACTACAAAGGAAATAAAATTATAGTCTATGAATTGAAGAATATCATTCAAAGGATAATCATAAATACCTTGGCATATATTCGAATCGTCATCATCAGATACGGAAGGGGAGTTTTGCGATTCGGATTCAACCTAGAAAGGAATCACATCAATTAGAAATTGGTAATGAATATTAACAACTCACTTATTGCGAAGGTCATACTTCATCCTCGCCGTTGAATGTTTTTTTGGAGTCGTCACTTAATTCCCGAAGTTTCTCGATAAATTTTGTTACCTTTACGTCGGAAGTATCTGTGAAGAAGGTGCTGATCTTGTCCACTGGATCCTGTAAAATACAAAATAGTATCATGAACATGGCACAAAAATATTAGCAATGACGTTTAATATCTTTACTGATAAAAGTGCCTTTTTCTGATCCTTGTCTGATGACCCGGAAATGAAGGTTTCGGAGTTTATAATCCCGCTAACAGTCCCATCTCCACGAACCTAGTATACCCCTAAAAAATATGTTACGAAACTGGGTTTAAATTTAAAATGCAGCTTAATGTATTGATTA